CATGCCTTACACATGCACAATGCATTTTTATAACCCAAATAAAATTGTGAAATCATATCCTCTTTTGTAGGTTGATGATGTGAACAGCATGTTCTCCAAGATTGATGAACTACGTAAAAATGGATGGACCCTACCACAGACATCTACTGATGAGGTAGAATATCATCACTAATAATTTAATTATTATGTCTGTACTTCAGGGTGAAAAATGTTTTCCTTGACTAAGTTTTGCAGTCTAAAAGTTTAGCCCTCACTATGTTGTATTTATGTATGTGTATACTTTTACTCTACAGACTGATTTTTCAAAACGCTCTTCATTAACACGTCAGTCGTCACTAACGAGGCAATCATCAGTAGGGAAAGGTTCTATAAGGAGGCAAAAATCCAAAGAAGAAGTGAAAGCTTCTGAGGCTGAGCAGCGAGCAGCAGCACGACAAAGGTTAGCTGCTGCAAAACGAACAGCAAGACAAAGGATGCAACAGAAAAGTAATCCTCTGGACAATGTAGAAATATTTTGTTCGCCAAAAAAGTAAAGTAGTTATATGAAAGAGAATGTTAAGAGTCAGAGTATAGTTTTAGAAGCATATTTATTGAAGAATTTTTTTAAATTGGAGTACTGTAAGATGCCATTTAAAGTTATTACTGAAGGTCTTTTCCAATTTGCCAAAATAAATACATAGTTAAATGATAAGAATTAATTTGTAAAGCTTTCAGTGCACAGGATGTTAACTTATTATCAGGATTTTCATCTCTAAAGTTTGACAGATACTTGTTTTGAAGGACTGTGAAAAAAGCTCAAGCCACATTGACATGTAGTTATCATTGTCACTTCATTTAAACAACGGAGTATGAAAAAATATGCTTTGATAATCATATAGTTTTTATCTCTACTTCTAAAATAGATCAATGGAATTTAACTCTGATCATTTTTTTAAGGTTCTGAAGAGTAAGCTGATGGTTTAAAAAATTGTCTTAATTGTGCTCATAAGAAAAAACTTGGTCCTATCTTTTCCATCTCTTGACAATATGTTTCAAAACAGAACTTTTTGGCAACTGTGAGTCATTTGGGCTTGTAAATTTATGTTCATGTAGTTCAGATTACTGAGTTGTTTTCAAAATTGTGGCAACCATAGTTGAATTTTTAGCATGTTTGTAGACTATTTTGAATATTCAGGTTACTCTTTGAAATCCTAAAACATGGCCAGTACTAGCAATTTTTATATATACTTTGAAATGGCAGCGATAAAAATTATCTGGTTTCGTAAGCATGCTTCTTTAATTTTGCATATCTGACCAGTGATCTATACTTTTAGCCTCTAAACATTGGTCTTTGTTGAGCTAACGCCCCCTGCTAGCTGAGTTTTCTTTCATCTCATTAGCCATTTCCTTGGCAATGAAATTTGAAGAAAGAGAAATATTACCTATTAATTATTCTTTGAAGTTAAAAGGCTAAGATGTTAATTTAATACAAGGGTGTAGAGGTGTTTGGTGTTACTTAAGTCTTGAAGACATGGCTACACTCAGAAAAACAATATGTAAGGCCAAATTACAACTCTTGAAATTTCATGTTCACCATTAACTCATAATTCATTAGTGGAATCATATCGCATATGGGGAATGTAAATATGGGCAGTGGAACATGATAAGAAATTTCTGCTTCTAATTTCCATTTTTACTTGGTCTTTAGATATGTGTGCATCATAACTTTAAACATTATATTATGAACATTTTTGAGATCAGTGTTGAAAAAAATATATTTATTTGCATTTTTTTGTTGATGGAGAAATATGAGAACGTTGGTGTACCACTTATGTCCTGCTAGTGAAAGTAGCTTCAGAGTACAGTTTTCTCATGCCTTTTGTAGTTGTGGACATAGTGGAAGGAACGTGAACCCCATTATCTCACTTTAAGGGATAGTTTGGTAAAAAATTTAAAGAGAGGTTTCAAAGCTGTATTACAGTGAGGTGAAATTTTAGATACTCTTTTGTAAATTATAAAAACTAGTTTATAGTCTTTGTGTTCTACTATTAATTTTTTTTGTTCTTACAAGTAAGTTGAGATCAAGGAGGGGAAGTGTTAACAACAACCCTACATGATTATTTATCGTGTTAAAATAAATTTGATGTGCGATGGCTTTTTTAGTGTAGGTCCCTGGATAGTTGTTTTGTCAGAAGTAAGAATATCCATATAAATAAAGCAGCTGAATAAATCTGAATAAATTCAGGTGTCTTTTTAGAGCAATGTAAATTGTCTTCACAGTGTTGATTTGTCATCAATGCTTATGATTTGAACACCAAGTGGCCAGGGCTGTCTTGTGACAAAGTGTATGGCAGACAGTGTAGAAAACTACTTTCAAGGTCTTTAGTTGAAAGTGTCAATCATTCAAAGTCTAAGCAATAAGTAATATTGATGTATCTGCCACCTTCAAGTGTGACTGTTCTTAGCACTTCTCAGCCGAGATCTAAACTTAACAAGTCATTGAGTTTGTTAGTATTTATTGTAAACAATGAGTAAATCCCACAGATTACTTCAATGTTGTCAGCAAAGATTATTCTTTCAAAGTTCATTTTAAATATTGTAATTTTCCACCTAGAAAATCTTGTGTTGATGGAAGGAGTAGTTGTGTATGCATAAGTTTAATCTCAATTTTACAGGTTTGTATAATTTTGAAGTTTATTGAACTACTTTGCAAACTTTGCTTGTAAATGGTTATATCTCCTTCAAAATTAGAAGCAGAATCAATGGAATTGCATGCTTCATGTTGCTTGTTTGAATTTATCATTCTAAGATTTTTCATTTCGTCTTTATCATATTAATCATAATTATCATGACACTCTGGCTAGTATGTAGTCAAGAAATGGAGAGGATAAAATAAAGTTGTTACTATTGGGATTCCAACCTTTTGTCTTGAATACCTCTTGCTAACCGAGTTCAAGGTTCTTGGATGTATTGCAACTTACAAAACAAGTTTTTTTCTGTTCTGGTTCGTTTCCCAAGTGTGAAGTGCACAGACTATAAATGCAAGCAGAAAAATAAATTGAAATTTGGTAACTTATTGTCCAGGGCCCAGTTGTTCGAAGGCTGTCTAGGGCTAATCCAAGGTTAAATTTTAATCTGGGATTCTTTATTCCTTTATTCAAAAGCCTTTTTGGGTTAATTTCCTGTCTTATTTTTAGAGCATCAAATAATCATATTCTAGACAAAAAGAATTTGACTGAATTTTCTTTTGAAGCTATCAGATCTGAAATCAGATTTTACACTAACCCTGGGTTATCTTAACCCAGCTTTGAACAATCCGACCTAGACCAAGAAAATCAGGTTAGCAAGATATTTATTACACATCTGGGTTTTAATAGAGGAGGAAAATTTTAATTTGAACAAAATTTTGAATATAGTGGGCTGTGCTAGATTTACCAATCCAAGCACACCTACTTACTGAAAGATATGACAGTGGATCTTATAGGATACCTACAGGTTTTGGAAAACCTGGAAAGTAGTGGAATTTTTACAATTTTTTTTTGATGCGGGAAAAGATGGAATTTGGTGTGGATCAGAAAAAGTTATTGTAAATATACTGTAGAGAACAAAGTAAAAGTACTGTTATTACCTGATGGTTTTCAAATTGAAATTGCCCTCTGCATTGCAAACAATATAATGGTGATGACATTAAACAGTAACAACTTAAACTGCAGTTCACATATATGATATTCATATATTTACAGTAATATATCCACCACTTCAAGGATTTATTTGGAACCAACATGATGACCAGCCCCTACTTAGCTTGTTAGCTTGGTTGGTAGAGCACTGCACTGGTATCAAAGAAGTCATGGGTTCCAATCCTGTACAGGCCTGAATTTTTTTCAGGCCTTATTTTCACTACTACTTAAGTGGTGTTCATGACTGCAACTATCACCTCCATTTAGGTTTCTTCAACTGCAGTTCACACATATAATTTTCATTTATTTACAGTCATTCATTCAGTAACTTTATCTAATGGGAGTCAAATATAACTGTTTTCTCTCTCATTATTACCTTGACCTTACAATCTATGTCGAGAACAAGCACAAAAAAAATATACAGTAAACCAGAACATTGAAATAGTCCTAAAGCAGTTAAAGGAACTAGTAACGGAAAGTTTTATAAGGCAAAAAGAGTGTAGACATTGTATATTCAATGCAGTGTTCTTATTTTCAGGAAGTAACCAATAAAAAAGTACCGCCTGTAGTACCTCTTATTATTGCCTGAAATTGCCTGGAATTCTTGAAAATTCAGCAGGTAAAAGGATTGCTTTACCAGTTTAAAAATTTCTTCAGACTTGGCAAAATAGCGAGAACACTATAAATGCAAATCCCCTAAACCCTTCAAACAATGTTAAACAGCATTATAACTAAAAAAAACTTGCAGACCATATACGCAATGAGCAAAATGGCATATTTATTTCCACAGTAATGAACATACGGAAGTTTACATCTAGGTAAGAGTAACAAACAAATCTAAAAGCTTGAAAAAGTAATTTGATTTTGTCATACAACCTTCATTATATCAAAAGATATATTCTTGATAAGATAAATATTAAATAAAAATTTGAGATCAATTTTTCTCTTTCACTTGAAATTTACCACTGTCCCTAGTATTAACACACCAGTGCAAAAGACAAAATTCAACAATTCAAGTAATTGAAATAAGGTAGTGAGGTATCATGAGAAATAATTTTCCCATTTTCAATTTTATAGTGCATTGGTGTACACAAAGAAGAATGTCTTAAGTCAATAACAGTAATTGGATATAGTACAGTTTGATTCAGTCTGTGATCATACAATTAATTTGAAAGAAGAAAGGGAGTCTTCTTTTATCAGTAACCAGGCCAAGCTTGTTTGAAGGGTGGATAACACTATCCACTGGTTAAAATCTCTATCTCATTGTTAGCGCAATATGTTGTGTTGGCATTTAACTACCAGATAGCAAGGCCCCTATTAAATAACATTATCTGCTCATTGAAAAACTGGGCTCGGTATTTTTACAGATAGAATTTCTATTCACCAAGACCCAGTAGCTTGAAGGCTGATGAGCGCTAATGCAGGGTTAACTTTTAATCCAGGTTTCTTTATTCCTTTGTTCAAAAGCCTTTTTGGGTTATTTTCCTCTATTCTTTTTAGAGCATCCAGTTATAAAATTAAAGACAAAAAGAATTGCCAGTATGCTCAATTTTCTTTTAAAGCTCTCAGATCTAAAATTAAATTCTACACTAACACTGGATCACCTTAACCCAGCTTTGAACAACTGGATCTGTTACTAACCCAAGACACCCTACTGAGTCCAGTACATCTAATCACATTGTACATATTCTACTTTTACCAGTTTATCAAAACTGACAAAATTTGAGAAAAAAACACTTGTCAGTGACATTCAGTCATAAGTAGAAACACATCAGCTGATGCAATTACTATAAAATGAAAAGGCACGACTAGCAAGATGCAATATATGTTCTATAGCCATCATGCTGTCTAATTACAATCATGATATATACTCTGTCCTATTACTGCTAAAAATTGTGCTACTGATAACCAATCACATGTGAGAATATTGCATGATTATAGTTTTGATTGATAATTACACAAAGCAGAACAAGAAACTTGCTTAGGGTATAGGAGTTAAATAACAATTTACAACCCCACAGCATAACCCAGGTGTCATGCATCTACTGGTTGGGTGTCCTGCTACACTCGGCGATAGACACCCACTTGACGGTTGCAGTTAGGACAGGAATGGATAACATCCTTGAGAGCATCAATACAAAATGGAATCAGGCAACATCCAAGCCAACCACTGCAAGGACAAAACAAAAATTTTCAAAACAAGTCAAATCTAATGACTTTATTTATTTAAAAGATCACTACATTTGCATGGGGGATTGAGTTCAACTGGCCTTATTCTAGATCAAGAATAGATTGGAATGCCCTGAATTTCATTTGGATTGAATCAATATTCTTGTGTGAGGAAATAAAAGAATTGTTTAATTAAAAGATTGCTGTAAAAGATTGCTAAAGTAATGATTGCTGTAAAAATGCAAAGCAGGGTAAGCAGCTGGTCACCACAAGCACTGATCATTAGGGAAAAAGGAAGGCCCTTGCAAAACATAATCATTAGTATTGTAACTAACAGAGTAATTAGTACCTTATTCTACGTTAGGTAACAAAATTAGCAGTATTGCTGTAAGTATCATAGATTGTATTTTGTAGTACTGTATTGTTTACTCCGTTTATCAATAAAGGGCAAAATTACTGAGCGCTGATTGGTTGAGAGAGAGGGCATTTTTTCTTAATCGAGGGCATTTTTAGTAATCAAGAGAGGGCATGATTACCTGTTAATGATTGGCTAATCCGTTGCATAGCAACCGTTCGTTATCTTGAAATTTGTTAAAAATAGACTGCGCGCGTGATTTTCCTTCGTATAAATTTTGCCCTTTATTGATAAACAAGTAATCCCATGAGACCTCGTACTATTAAGGATTAATTGCACTTGAGTTTTCAAAATTTTCCAAATTGCCCTCGTCGCTTCGCGACTCGGGCAATTTTGGAAAATTTTGAAAATTCTCGTGCAATTAATCCTTAATAGTACTTGGCCTCATGTGATTACATATACAAATAATGTTTCGGTAATCGAAATAGCAAAATTCAGAACCAAAAAAGGTTAAAAAAAACCTCGTCAAGTTGAAAGCTCAAAACAGCTGTGTAAGCCTTGACTCCAGTTCACATTTTGTCACACAAAACTTAAATGAATCACGGTATATTTCTACGTTTTCACATTTCGAAACTACCGGTGTTTCAACATCAAAATAACCAACAGTAATGTATTTTCCCTTTTTACCGTAAATTTCCCTCCGCTGCAATCTCAAAAATAACTATTTTTCAAACTATCGAAACCTTCGCCAATCTTACTCAACATGAAGACGACATTTAAAGTGAAATTAAAAAATTAAACGAATTAATGGTAAATATATTTAAATAAATTCAATTCAGTGAGTATGCTAATAATAATAAAAAACACTACTGTACAATAACTTGATAAAAAGGTCGTCGACATGAAAAAAGAATCTGAACCAAGTTTTGAGATTACCCCATAAGTGCGACACCGCCACAAGCAATCCAGGTTAGTGTCCCCGAAACGTAAGTGGTGCCTGTAACAATACTAGCTTGGCAGTAAGGACATGTCATTGCAGTCGGGTCTTCGAAAAATCTCATCCCCATCACAATATGAGTTGGTTGCGTATGAATAATTGTTGTAACTCCTGCCTGTCCTTGAAAGCCGGGCTGTTGGGGATAAACCACTCCAGTCTGTTTAGTACCATAGTTTGGTGGCCCTGGATAAGCTGGTGGAAGAGGCTGGGTGACATTCGCTTGTTGTGATGGGTCCATGTTGTAGTTGTGTAATGCCGAAGGAACGGGAAAAGTTCTAGTTTCCAGGCTACTTCGGCCGTGCTAACTTGACGTCATATCTAATTCTGAACGAAAAATCGCTGACGTTTGTATCATTATTTATAGTATGTACCCAACAAATACCTCGTTCCTGATTGGTCAGTGACGAATGCTTGCCGGGATTCCGTATTGCCCTCTTTCGAAATTAATGCCTTCAAAGACAAATAAAAGGGGCCTATTTCTCGGTTATTAAGGCCAAAGTCCCCCGCAAAGCGTTGTAAAGCGCATCAGAGCATATTCATATGGATAATGCGCTGTTTGAATGATGTGTCATCATAAAAAAAAAACATTCAGTTTGCTTCGTCTGTCGTAATTATTAACGGAGTATTCCATAATTTCTTTTTCGTGCTTCTCAACCCGTAAAGCCCCTGCCTCTCGGTAAACTTCTAGCATGGTAAAGATAAAGCTACCGCCCCCACCCAAACCCTCACTATTGTAACTATGGCTCTGGGTCTCTAATGAAATCCAGAAGCTAGATGGTACCTGGAAACAGAGGTCTGAATGGAAGAAATACGCAAATACGCACACGCTAAAATTCAACGGAACGTAAAGCAGAGAAAATTTATAACTCAGAATGTCAGTTGCTTTTGAACAAAGTTTATTTTCAACTTATTTTACCCTACCCTAAGAATCTCTTTTGCTTAACATATTATCATCCATAGCGGGGCACAAGTGACTGCAGTTCCTGAGTATTCCGGGAAATGAACGTAAAACAGATGGACGTTTCTCTGCTCCCTTGAAGGGAGTGGAATTACGTTTTTTGGGCGCGGTCAATTATGTTTCTCTGGCTCCAAAACCTGGCGGTCATCTTCGACACTTAAGCAAATTTAGGACGAATTCTACGGATTATACGAAACGTGGTTGCAGTTACCCAGACTTCCTTGGGATTTTACTCCCTGGCTAACTATTAAAAACAACTGTGTCAAAAAATAAAAGAAAAAAAAAATATATATATATATATCTGTCTAAATATTTGAGTCATATCCACGCTTAATACTTGCTTACCAAAATCGTCTTATATATCGTTTTTGATGAGAGATCAGTCATGATTCTTCGCATGGGGGGGGGGGGGGGGGGGGGGGGGGGGGGAAGATGGAGGGGGCTCAGTCGTCGCTAAAAGAGTATTATTAGTATGGCCGGTCCATTACTGGACAGCGCACCGAATATATTGTAGCTTAAAGTATTCTCAAGGGGATGTTTGATTGGGGTTACATTGAACTCACAGGGCACTCAAATCAGAATTACATGATTATAAACAAACATTAATTTTTTTCTATACTGTTCTCTCCTAAGAGAGAAATTTTCAAATGAGTGTCGCAGGTATTTCGATGGTGTTCTGGTTTCACCATTCATTGATTGGTGAAAAAGAACCCACGCTATCTTCTCAACCAAACAGACGCAAAACTATGACTGATTGCACCAAGGTCACTCGTTTTTTCCCGGTTTTGATCTTAGGACACTCAATCGAAAAAAAGTTCTACTTGCCGAGTAGAGCAAGTCCTTACTGAGCCTCCACGGAAATTTCCCCTTCATCGCGCTCTGTAATATGCTAAGAAACTAACGGAAACCTCTTAGCCAATCAGATTCAAGCTAAAACTAAATGTGACTTGGTCAAGACTTGTTCACTTGCGTCAGGTCAGTTTATCCGCGCTGGGGGCCAGTCACGTGCACTTACTTTAAGTTCTGATTAGCTCTTTGCGCTATCTACCACTAATCTATTTGGCCGTTTGGATTGGTTTGGTTTTAAGACACTAATTCGAAAACTACACTAAACCAGCGTAACAAAATAACTGAGCAATTACTAAACATTTTCTTTTTTGTCACTTTCAAATGCATCCGTGAAAGGTTCTTGTAACAGACACACAAATGAATATTATAATCTGTTTTCTCCTCAATGTAATGTAATCTTTCAGTATTGAGAGATGCTTAAGTTGCCTCTGCTTCTGCTTCCCCATCTAAATGGATTTATCTTATTGAAGATTTCAGGAAGCCAGGAATTGTTGGTTTTGGCATACACGCAGCTCTTGCTAAATTGGAATAAGTTTGACGAATTTTAGTAATTAACTCTGTTATGAAATCTTTTATATCCAGCAAAAAAGGGATAAATGCACAGCTCTTACCTTGCTGCTTTGGTTTTGTGATTCTTCTGTCTGGCTGAAATGATGCCATCTACAAAAATAAAGGAAACATTAACGCATTAATGCGTGATAAATCAAGGAAAACATGGTGGTGCGCTGCACAGACTGAAGTGGGAGGCTCAGCCACAATACATTGAAACACTATTAAAAAGTCAGTCAAGATAGTCAGCGGTGATGAGTCTTCGTTGCTTCCCTACATGCCAGCGGACATAATGAGCAGTGAGTAAGTTAGTCTTTCTTTTTTTTGCGAGGAGCTTCCTAACTTCACCATACCTGACTCATACCCAGTCGTCCTCATTGCAAGTAGGTAGAAGGGTGCCTAAGGTGGAATGGATAGCTCTTTCTCCCCCAATGTGTTTCCATGCCATGAGTGCCCTGAAGAACACTAGGAAAAAGTCAGGCACTACACTAGAGCCTCCCTCATACCTGACTCATACCCAGTCGTCCTCATAACACGCAAGTGGGAAGGGTGCGCAAGGTGTAATGGGTAGCCTTTCTCCCACATTGCGCTCCCATATCACGAGTGCTACGAAGCAGAAAATGAAGAATGTAAGCATCATACCTAAAGCTTCTCGTAGAGTCTTTCCATTGTGTTTCAGAGAACAAAGTTGTTCTCTCATTTCGTAGATCTTTTCTATGGGAATGACCTCTGCTTTCTTGCCTTCCGTTGGGACTTTCTTGATATTTTCAATGATGACATTCTTCTTTTGCTCATACGTTCTCTTGTCCTTCTTCATTTGGGCAATCTTTGCTTCGTCTCTAATCAACTTCTCTTTCATCTCCTCTTCTCTGATCAGCATGTCCAGGTACTCGCTAAAGGAGTCGTTGTAGGCAATCATGGCATTCTGCTTGAGGAAGACACCAAAGTAGCTGGCACATCGATAGATGAACTGCTTTTCCTCTTCAAGTTCTTGGATGTTCGTCGCCAACTCTCTGATGAACAATTGCTTTTGAGACTTCAAGTCGGTTTTCTTCTTGATTTTCGACTGAGCTTCCTCAGACAGGAATTCCTTCTCAACGACATTGGCTGTGTAGCGGATATGCATGTGTTCTCTGTAGTTGTGTCCACAGAGTCTGCACACTCCACCAATCATAGCCCAACAGCCATGAAGCTGGTCATTATTGGTTGTCTCGATTGGAACTCCTGAGAGATTACAGTGATCATGGCATACTTGCTCATAAACGGTGTTTTGTTGACCTGATTGGCCGACGGGTACATACCTCTTACAAGCAGGGGCGGCACAGACTGTCATGGGATAGTCAAGGGGTTCTAACTCCAGCTCAAAGCCTTTAAATTTTAGTTCCTTCTGGAAGTCCTTGATGTCTTTTTCAAAGGCCTGGCACTGGCCTTTCACATCTTTTATCTTCTTCAAATTCATCTCAATAAGCTCCACAGCCTGACCCATTGGTTTGCTCAGGGCGATGATGCAATTCCTCGCCTCATTAAGGCTTAGGGTCTTCTTAGTATCATGAGGCGTCATATTCTTCACGCGTTCGAAAAGTCTGCAGGTGGTATCACACGACTTCACCCAGCTTTTTGCGTAGAGATCTACGTCCTCAGCTGTGAACTTAATTTCACTCTTGTGGCAGGCCAGAAACCTGTCGAGGGAGTGAAAAAAATTAATAATCTGGCTCGATTTCACTATATGAACTAAATTCAATTCTGATGATTCGAGCTAAAAATCTCGCAATGAACGAGAGAATAAAATCGACCTAATGGTCCACCTTCAATTATTCAGCCTATTTTCAAGTTCGTGATCTGCAGTTCCCTTTAATCTTCTCCATACTATTATGATTTTCTGTTTCACTGAAGTACTATTTTGTAGTAAATTGAGAGGAAGTTTGTAACGTAAGGGTAATTTTTGTGGCGCAAAAAATGACTCGAAATATATCGAGAATGCGCTCTTTTACTTAAAGTAAACACCAAATTACCTGAAAGCTTCGTTGTCAAAACAAAAATAATTCGAAGGAGAGACATCTATCCCGATACTATTCTCATCGAGGAGCTTTTTTAGCACTGGAAGGCTATCTCCTGGTCGGTAGAATGTTCCTCTGGAGTTGGTGAAGGCAAACATGATGTTGGAAACTAAGGACTTGTGGAGGTGGGTCAACAATTCCAAGACGCAAAACTTGAAAGCCACTGTCAGCCTTGCGTTGTTAGGCTTGAGAAGCACAACCACGGCGTTGATCTTGTCATAGCAAGTAAGAAAGGCCAAGATATTATCGAAGTTTTCCTTGTCCTTCTCAATGCCTCTGCAGTCCCCGATGCCCGGTGTGTCAATAAGATGGAAGATTGAGGTGCTGGTCTCCAGTCGGTACTCCTGAGGGAATTGGGTGGCAGATTGACCACTAGAGAGAACTTCATTATCATCAGCAGACCCAAAGGCGATGTCCATCCCTTCTCCATTTTCATTCGTGAAAGTAAACCTAGCATAATAATGAAATATTTGACAATAATTCATGAGCGCGCGTTGGATATGAGGTGGTAAATTGCCAACAGCGGCGAGTTGGCCATAACCAATCTCGTATCCAACAAGCGCGAAGAGAATAATTGTTTTATTAAATTTCACTAAATCCTGAACATTTGGATGTTTGGAGCCTTTTTTCAGCCCTGTAACAGTCGGTGCAATACATTTCCGCATAAGTTGACTCGGAATACGAGCTGATCACCTGTGTTGAGTGAACAAATCAGAACGCTAGAAGTGCAACATTCGGAGTTGAAAATTTAATACATATATCTTTGTCATGGTTCTAAACCTTCACGCGGAAATTTTGCTTTTCGGGCCTCGTCATGTAGAGAGGATCACCACACAAAATTGAGCATTGAATCTCGTTCAAATATTTTTACCTAGATGGAATCAGTACAGTGAAATCAGGGTCGTTCATGGCGTCTTCGAGAGACTCATGCTTTGCATAGTTGGCAATACCATTAATCCACGTGGACTTGCCCACACCAGTCTCTCCCAGTATGAGGATAGTGAAGTCTCCTTTGGCTGCAGATGCCTATGGGTTCAAAGACAAGAGAAGCTTATTACACAGATAATAATGTGCATAAAACATTACCCGCGTCTGATTGGCTGAAACTGAGTGCAATTTTCATGTAACACGAGTGCATGTAAAACGAGTGCAAATTACAAATAGCATGTGCGCACTGTCAAAATTTCGTTGGTATAGGTAATCACATGATTTCGAGTGCAATTTGGAATAAAGAAATTGCACGAGCCCGTAGGGTGAGTGAAATTTGTGGTCTTTGAAAAAATTAACAAGTGCTTATTTCTTCCAAATTGCACGAGAAAATCATGTGATTAGTCCTGTAAAGACTATAAACTGCACTCGCCGCACAGGCTTATGCAATTTTGTTGTCTTGAAAAATTTTCTCGTGCGAATTGCACTCGAGATCATGTTATTACCTATACGTACAAAGCGACATATGAGCCACGCTTGAGGCGGATTTCCGGGATGATACTGAATTACGACCTAAATTAGTTTTTTAGTACGAGAGTGATTATCAACCGAGTTTCGGTCTAAGATTGGTCAACAAACCATGCACTGCCTCTCATCAATGCAAGACTCTTCAGCTGCGATCCACTCGGAATCATCTTCTTTTTCCAGCCCCTCAGGTATTTTGCTAGTTTTTGCTAACAACAGTCCGAGATTATTGACAAAATAAAATTGCTTTTGATGACCTATATCAGCGCGTCGCTTTCGTTATTGCTGTTGAAAAAAACTCAGTGTTGTGGATCCATATCTGGGATTATCGACTGGACAAATGAAACAAAAAAAAAAAGCAATAAGTTCGTAACGATTTTTTGCAAATCCATACCAAATCATTATGTCTGATGTTGATTGCGGGACAAAGAAACTGTATAAGGATGTTAGACGGCTTACCCTTCTATAATGGCACATGAAACGGTTATCGAACCCAAACCTGCAGAGTATTTTGCCAGTATCAAAAAGAGAAATTTTCAACTCAATGTTGAAACTAATCCAAGTTTTACCTCCTCTATGATTGGTCCAGAACACTCGCGCCACTTTCTCAACCTATCAGATGCAAAACCTGAAAACTAATCACGACTTGGTCGCCCGCGCTTTCCCGCGCTTTCCCGCGGCTTCCCGCGCTTTTGGCAGTTTTGTTGTTTTTCGCTTTGAGTTATCGGTAGTGGCTCTTTGAAGTATTTCCCTTCTTCTGATTGACCATTACGATAACTTTAAAACTGGTTTTACGTCACTCAATCGAAAAGCGCTCTAACTACTTGACAAAGGATAATCCCTCTTTCCCAGTTAAGTCATGCGCGTAAGTCAGTAAGGAAGGAAATATTTCGGCGCCGCACGAGAAAGCTGACTGTTCATCGTCTGAAGCTGCTGTCTCGGTCCATTTCAGGCTGATCTGGCATATTTTTAAGAATTTACCTCGACTTGAGGACCTTTTACACTTGAAGTGGTCCCACTGGGATGTTTAACAGCCTTGCCATCCGTTAAGTCGTTAGAAACTTCAACTTTATTTCCAGGAGCTGCCATGTTGTAGTAATGTTGTAATAACGCTGATACTGAAAACATAAACTGTTAAAACTTTAGTAAACTGTGAGGCTAAAGGTTTTGTTACTATTCAGCCAATTTGATGAAAACAAAACAAAGACCAATGACTTGGGAAGGAATATGGGCACCGGTCAGTATTTATCACGTGGAGAGGTGGGGAGGGATCGGAGGATTTCGGTGTTATCATGATAAAACTTTTGGCTCGGTAATATTCTTATAATCTTATTAGCAGTCAATTGTCAGTCAACTTTGCATCGTATCCCCTTTATGCTTCGATAGCGATGACTACCCCCCCTCCACGCTTTCCCTTGGAACAATGATAACCTCACCCCCCCCCCCCCCCCCCCCCCCCCACACCCCGACGATAAAAAAGCAAAGATTCTGAGGATAGTTTGAAATGGTCAGAAAGCAATTCTGTAAAGACTTTAGGGATTAACCATTTCTGAATGGGTTTTCCCACAAATTTCGAAGAAAGGTCGCAACTTCAAGATTCAAGAATATTTGCAAGTGGCAAAAATTAAAAAAATCTCACGAGACACTAACTGAATTTGCCTCTTAGTTATCAGAAACCAACCACTTCCGGGAAAAGATTTTCTGGAGAATATAAGAATAAAGCACAAGGATATTTCTGAGAAACATTGTTTGATATTTGTCACAACACGTCATAGTGAAAGTATGGATTTAGAATTCCCCCCAAAACAATAATTTCCGATGGCAGGTTTCCGAATAATTTCGGGGAATTCGGGGAAAATCCCGTTTTGATAGCGAAAGTGCATTGTAATGGCTTTTTTTCTTTAGGAAGCAAATGGACAGAGATATGGAGAAAAAAATGAGATTGCCACAGTTCTGGTTATCTGTTACGTACAGAGTTCTTCGAATTATCTTGTCTCGGTTGTGCATCGGACGGTTTGAAAAAAAGGAAAAGAAAAAGAGGGACCAAGGCGAAACGAAATGTAACGAGTCTTCTCAAAGCAATGGAAGAAGGCCCACTTCCGTTTAGAGCAAATCGATTCTGCACCGTTCAATCGCTGTGAGTAATCATTACCAGCCTTTGATTCCTCTTTATATTTTGGCTTGATGAAGTGAAGTTACTCCGAGGATGTTGTGGAAAGGAAGCTTTCTTACAACGTTTAACCACAAACCTATGGTGACCTCCAAACAGTTTTGAAATAGTGATCCTTCTTTGAACGCACATGAATCCCAATTAAAACTACAATGAAAGCTACCATTATTGCTCTGTAGAATTGAATTTGATTAATTGTGAGAATGCCATGTCTGAAAATGGAAGTATTAGCTTAATTCTTACCTCTATGTACTTCCAATTCGCTTCAGCTTGCACAGGTCGCCGCTTCAGATTAAAAGAGGTAGCTGGTAAGAATTAGTAGCAATATATTCCCGCCGACAATACGGGATCTTGCAATCCTTTTTAGGTAAAAATACGGGAAGAATGAATGAAATTTAAAACGAAGAGGTGAAACTAACATTTTCTAGAAGTAATTTTACTGATCGTTTCGGTGCACTTTGGCCAACCGACTCATTATTAGCCCACGTGAAATTTATTCTTAGAAAGCTTTTCTTTCATTTCCTGCGTTTCTCCTAAACCGGATGAACTAGTATAGCCCAGGGCCCGGCGTCACACGGACAGATCCATGGACTACCCGATGGGTTACACCCCACGGAACCTCAATTTTCCCACACCGGAAATGAATAGACAAATGTATGAATGAGTGACTAAAGAACGAAAAAAAAAGAATGAACAGAGACAAGAGAATGCAGGCGAAAGGCGACGAAAAAAAAAAAAAGAACGAGGAAAGAGAAAAACTGGTTTGAAATGCAGCACCAGCAAAAAGGAAGAAATGAATTGAAAAAGTCAACTGAATAAGGATGAAATCGAGGTCAACAAGGGATCTGAATCATAAGAATAAGTTTTAAAATTTTCACCGCTTACCAATTTGAATGCATCGACCTCATGTAAGTGCAACTGACCTCTGAATAAAACTTCCGCAAAGTTAACGTGAAATGAGATTGCATTTATTTTGTAACTTTACCATGAACGTCGTAACGAAACTTTGTTTAAATAAGAAGGTAATTATATTGTATTAAGGGAAAAGCATAATTATTGTTCATTATCGTGTTGATTGACAATTGGTGTATTTTGACAATAATCTTTATCTCCTCCACACCAATCAGATTGAAGAATTGTCTGTAGAGGATTTCGAAACAATAATATTTTCCCGCGGTCCTGCCAACATGGCTGTGGGAAGATTGTATGTAGCCGTATTCTTATTACTGAATCATGGAAACTCTGCCGTTTTCAGTCAGGATATTGACGATGATTCTATTGCATTTGACACTTCCAGTCAACATGGGCTCAATGTAGAATCATTACAAGCTAATAATGACACGCAATTCGATAAGAGATATCTTCTTTATGATGTGAATCCTGGAGAAGGATTTAACCTCAGACGGGATGTGTACATGAGAGTGGCAAATATGATGAAGCTTTTGCGAGAAAAACAGAACTGGATCCTTGTCGTTCCGCCTTGGAGAAAACTTTACCACTGGCGATCGGCGATCGAACAAAATGCCCTTCCTTGGCGGACATTTTTCGACCTGGAAAGCTTGAATCGTTACGTGCCTGTCATTGAGTTTGAAGAATTCGTGAGGGAAACTGGCGAAGAAGCCATAGATGAAATCCTCTATTTACAAGGTTACGCTGAAGGGTGGAAAGACGGACATTGGGAAGAAAAAATAGACGATAGAGATTGCATTGATAGACCTGTATACCACAAAGATGAAAGCGGGTATTACAGAGGTTACTTCTGGGGAATGGAGGACATATTCGCGCGTAAATTTAAATGTGTCTCTGTACAGGGCACTTCGGCAATCCTAGTGCCTACACTTCTGGAGAAAACCAAGTCAAAGTAAGAATGTCTTTAATTCGAATTCGCTATTTTGAATTACTTTTTTGGTTCCATTCTCTGTAGTGTTTCGTCACAATAACCTTAAGTTCAATATTTATGTCGAATGGACGAGATCAAAGGCACTTGAAATCAATTCATTTACACGTGTACTTTTCTTTCATTGTTTTAGCTGGTATGTTGTGACGAGTTACAGACAATTCCCTTAACGGGTGGAAAGTACCTTACATCACAGAGGCTTTCAAACAAATTTTCCATTTTTAGACTGTGAAATATTACTAGGAAAATTGTCGTCAACATACTAACTAATCAGCTGAAGTTCTTTACAGTATAGATTGAATGCATTAAATTAATATCAGTACAAAAGTACAAACAAAACTCCATGGGGTTATTTTCATCTCTGCGAAATTAAATTTTTATTACCTGAAAATGAGATAAACTTCTTCAACTCAAAATTCTCTCTTATTTTTTGAAAAACTTTTGTTCAAGAAGTGAAGTGAAGTGCTATAGACTTTGAATGGAAATTGTACATGTTTATGTGTGTACATTTAGGGTTTCATTGTTGCAATATTCAATTTTCTTTGTTTCTTCACCAATGATGTGATTCCCAAGACTACTATGTATTGATCTGGAAACTTGGGGGCAAAATTATAGGAAAATGGCCTTGTTTTGCTTTATTACCTTTAAGAGTCTCATTTGCAACACTGTTCAGTTGATATTTATGTTTTACCTATAATGTTGAAAAATTTGGGTTGGAGACCTGTGTGGGTCTTCCTGTTGTATTTTTAGGCAAGACACTTTACTCTCTGAGTACCATTCTCCACACAGGAGAATAAATAGGTGCTTATAAAATTTCAGAGAAAATTGACAAAGTACTGGGTAAATCCTTAACCGACTAACATGGGGAATATATAGGTGGTTATAAAATTTCAGAGAAAATTGACAAAGTACTGGGTAAATCCTTAACAGACTAACATCCCATGCACACTCTTACATGATTGAGCTTAACCCTTAAACTCTCAGATGTGATTGATATGTAACTTCTCCCTATAATATCCATACATTGTTAGGCATACAGGTAATGAGAATACTCAAATTTATCTGGTAGAAGTTGTTCTCTTAATCTGACACCAAATTCTGATAACTAATTTATAAGGAAATGTGTAGCAGCTAGATGAGAGAATTAACCATCGGATCTTGGGATTTAAAGGGTTAAGCTTGAACCAACCTTCCAGGAGAATGTATCCAGATATTCAAAATGAAAAATTGTCTATAAGGTGTTTTGAACCAATTTCTTAACATTTTCACCAAAAAAAAGTAAACAGAGTTCACGACTTGTCATTAATATGTCCTTTTTTAATTATTTCACTGCATTACAGATCAGTGTTTGTAGAGAGATTTGAGGAAGTATTGCACATCATTTATGGACAAAAGGATTATTGGGAGGTACTGTAACTTAGTTTTTCTGTGTTTTCTTTCGTTGTTTCAGGTCTGTGTTTATTGACAGATTTGAAAAGGTTATGCACATTCGTTATGGTCAGGTGGAATTTTATAAGGTAATCTGAATTTTCTTATAGTTTTTGCGAAGGGATCTTGTCCTATCCAGTAGTTACTCTCGATTTCTGATTGGTTGCTCCCCCTTCTTGCTGTTATACATTTCCTCATAAACTAGTTCAGAGAGTTTCATTTTTAATCCCTTGGCCCCCAAGAGTAATAAGCATCTAACTTCTCCCTACAATATCATCTCTGAATCACACATGAACGTAAAGAGAATAAAGGAAATGATCAGCAACTTAAGAGGTTCTTGATTGGGAAATGAATTCTCCTTGTCAGCACCTTAGGAAATGTATAGTGAAAAGTATGGAGAATCTATGTGCTGATGTTAAGGTGAAAAGGGTTAATGGTTTAAAGCATAGTTGATTGATAAACAGAATTTAAGTCTTTTTTTCACTTAGTTAGGATGGGTTAATTTTGTTTCAGGCAAGGAGGAGCCTGGTTTTTGCCAAACACTTAAGAGATGAAGGAGACAAGTTTCGTAGAGAACTCTTAAAATCTGACGATGAGAGGGATGCTACAATCATGGATCCAGACTGGACCAAGAATCAGAAAAAAGAAGGTTCTGCTAAAGGAGGCCCATATTTAGCAGTTCACTTGAGAAGAGCTGATTTTCTCTATGCTCACCCTGATGGCGTTCCATCTCTTGACAATGCTGTCAAGCAGATTAAGGATATTCTTGAAAAGGAGAAGCTTGATATGGTATTCCTTGCGACAGATGCTGATAAAAAAGGTGAGGCACATGCAACTAGTTGAAAGTAAGCCCTTGAGTTTGGAACATTAGGATATTTGTTTAGAAAAAGCCTGCAAAAAATCCCTTCATTTTTCTCTTACAAATGTTTCTGAACTCTGTTAAAAGAAGATGGAGGATGATAATAATGTTGGTGACATACCATGGTCTTTAGAGGTAATGGGTTGGAAATATTCGGCAGAAAATTTTTGAAGTTTGTATAAAAGAATTTTCAAACTTTACACAGCAATGAAATCATCATCAGGCTGTGTAAATTGATGCACTGCCTTGAGTCCAGGGGGGGATGCAGAGGTGTGATGACCAGTGTCCTGGAATCAGGGCTGATAGGTCCGGCTGGGCTGAGACGTCCAGCTCAAGACCTGACCACACCAATGTGTTGTGTTCTTGGGTAAAACACTTTGCTCTCTCACACTAGAAGTGCCTCTCACCACTCAGGAGTATAAACAGGTACTGGCAAATTATCAGAAAGCCTAATGAAATTCTGGCAGGGAAGCTTGCAATGGACTGGCATCCCATCCAGGGTGGAGTAGTGATACTCCTAGTCACTTCATGCTGAGGAGACTGGGATGAGCTCTGGCTGAGTTGGCCTCTTGGTGTGATCATAGACTTTGCTTTTGCCTTAGAGTCCACAGAAAATGCCAATAAGAGTTTGGAAAAGGTTTTGGATTTTTTTCATCAACAATGTACTTGATTACTCTGTGAGAAATACATGAATTATAACATTAGCCCTGGTAAAATGTTTTGTCTTTCAGAGGTGACATATTTGAAGAGTAAACTTCCCCTGGTGAAATATGACCCACCGAAGGAAATTCTACATAATTATGGTGATGGCGGAGTTGCCATAATAGACCAGTGGATTTGTGCACATGCTCAATACTTTGTAGGGACATGTGAATCTACGTTTTCATTTCGTATTCATGAAGAAAGGGATATATTAGGTTTCCATGGTGACAAGACCTTTAATTGTCTCTGTGGAGATAAGAAGCTTGGAAAATGTGAACAACCATCAAAATGGAGAGTAGTATACTAAAAATATGATGAATGTACTTTAAAGCTCTTCTGCGTTCAACTCTCAGTCAGTCATTAAAAGAAGATAACTAATAAATTATGGGATTGCTTTGGGAACAGGATGTGAAATATTTCTGCGAGATAAGATGGTAGTTAGAATTTTGCGAGATTAGTGCCAGCAGTCACTTAGTTAACCCTTCAACTCCTATGAGTGACCAAGACAGAATTTCTCCTTACAATATCAATACAATGTCAAGCAGACAAGTGATGAGAATAAAGAAAAATATTAATTAGTGGAATTGTTAATTGATGTAAGACCAAATTCTCTGAACTAAAATCAAGAGAATCACCGGTATATGGTACACAGTTAGGAGAATAAATAGAAAGAACTTGGGAGTGAAAGAGTTAACTCTTCATTTCCAAGAGCGACCAAAAAGGAACTTCTCTCTGTAGTATGGATTTTTTTTCAAGGAGAAAGGTGATGAGAAGGAATAGAAAAAGAGAACTTGAGTAGAGACAATTTTGCAACACATATGGAAACCAGAAGAAGAATAAAACTAGTTCTAGTGCACTTTGACACCAAGGTATTTATGGCGAGGTCTTGTTTTAGCATTTTGAACCAAACTTTGCTGACCCAAATGGTGCAGTTAGCATCAGGAATGAGAACTGAAAACTTCCAGTTGCCATTTGTGTCTTAGAAATGTTTGTACTTAAGCTCCCTCATATCAGCCAAGGAATACTGTTTGATGTAATACCAAATTGTTAGAGCTACAATTGTAAGAGGTGTTTGGTGGACAGAGGGGAGAATCGATCTTTAGATCAAAGGGGGCGTGTGGGTGTAAGAACATAATTGGTGCATTTGTCCTCTGTACTAAGATGATGAGGATCTCAAAATAAAACTTTTACTTGTTTTTGCTCACAAGAGTGCCCACAGTCTATCATTTCCTGCTTAGCATATAGAGATAGTGAAAAAAAATCTAACTGGAGATAATAGATTTATGTGGCATGATTTCATGTGACGCTAACTTCTTCTCACTCAAAGGACGAGGCCAGAAAAGAAAGACTTCTTATTCTCTAGATTGTATGTAGTGAGCTATAGGATGATGAATGTTACTTGCTCTTAAATCTTAAAATCTTGTTTCCTGAAAGCCTGCTCGATCGAGGATAGGTTTTGGTTGAAGCTGCTGGAGATTGAAAACAAAATCAATTTTGTACAGTGTTGATTATTTTGTTGCCTTACCTTCTCTTACATTAATGCTGACCAACATTTCCCATCAATCTTCTATGTGTGACCCATTTCACTGTTACTAAGCTTAACCTTTGTATTTCCACAGTAAAATCCATATATTTATTTTTGTTCTAGATCTGAGAATTTGGGGTGACATCTTGTAGCTGATGTTTTCTTTCTGCTCATCACTTTTTGAAACCTTCAATCTGTTATTTAAAGGACTTGAAAAGTAGAAGATAACTATCAAACAACTAATATTGCAGTATCATGAGACAATTTCCTTGCCTAGTAACTGCCATTGACAGTTTTGCCTAGCCCAAGTATTAATCCCTAATTTGATAGTTTGCTGCATTCTGTGCCATTTCAATAATTATTGGGCTCTGCCTTAATATAATAATGCATCTGCTGATAGATGCTTATGTGACCATGGTATCAGTGACTTTTTGCTTCTGTTGGACAAAATGTCAGATTCCATGTTTTTTGTCCATCTTTTATTCCCATAAATTTCCAAAAGTAATGAGTACAATCAGCAGCAGTACACTTGCATATACTTTCTGTTCCTTTTGTTTAGACACATTTGAACATCATTTGTGATCAGTTTTCTTATCTATTTATTTATTCATACAACAACATGGAAGCTGTTTTTAATTCATATGTTGGCGAATGGAAGTGTGGATAAGTTCCATCAGGATTTTTAGGCTCAAATTATATGATATCTAATCAGACATAGCTGCTAAATTTACCCTGACCTCTGACTGTAACCAGTCAGAGGTCAGGGTAAATGTTTGGCTAAAAAGGGTTTGTATATTCTCTTTAGGTTTTTTAGGCATTTACCAGCAAGAGTAAGAAACGTTGCTCTTTTATCACATGACTAGGAGAAGATTTGACCTAGGCCACCAAATGCTGGGGAGTGGGAACAGGGCTAATGTTGGACTTTTCTTCTTGTTGATTTTGGCGAGCCAAACATTTCATCTGAGCAACACACCTAGGGGGAGGTTTGGCTGCAGTTGTATGCATGTTCTGTGTAGGATTGTTATCATCCAGCCACATGTAGTGTAATAGGAAAATATTTACAAGTAGATTTATATAAATGTAAGTATTGAAAATATAAGTTATACACTGTTTGAAAGCTCATACCCTAATTGCCAGCTTCTACCTACCCAAGCCAAATAAGGGAGTGATCTCAGGGAGGAGGTTCTGGCCACCACTTAGATCATGTTTTGGATTTTGGTCTAGAAAGAGGAGGCCTGGATTCCTTTGTAGATCAGTGCTAGAGAGAACAACCTAAGCTGAATTATCTGCCAAGATTGAAGTTCTTGGAAACTTGTAATGGTTCTTCCCATGCAGATATTGAAAGGTATAAATATTTTTAAGGAGGTAAGAGGTTTCAAAAATGAGATATTGTAGCCCTTCTTCACCAAGCCAAAATGAGTGTGTGCTTCCAAACAGGGTGTGTCTTCTGCACTTTTGAGTCTTTATGCCTTTTACAGCTTTATACCAGTACATCTTCATACTGTTCTCTATACATTTCCTGACCTGCTGACAAGGAGAATTTTTTTAATAATAAAGAACTTCTTTAGTTGATCATTTCCTTTATTCTTGTGACCTTAATATGTAATTCAGAAATTAGATGCTTAGTCACTCTAAGAAGTCATAGTTCAAGCCTTGTGAACATGTTGTATTGTCTTTTAAGAGGGGAGTTTAGTGTGACCTCAATAATGTGGGCACTGGTAGATAAGGTGGTCACTCACTAAAATTGTGTCAAATTGAGCAAGACACAGTCAAGGTCAATGTGCCACAATCTCTATGGATTGTGTCTTGATGACTGGAAAGTGAAATAAACTGATCTTTACGCGACACAGGGTCAGAGTGCTAACAGCTTTGCAGCACCCACCCCCCCTCCCCCCAATACCCTTGTTCCCCTTCCCCTGGGAGCTTGGACTACAAATTCTCTATGGGAGGAGTATGGATATTTCCAAGAACAACTCAATTTGCCTGAAACCAATTGATTTCTTTATCAAGACAAAATCAAAGTGGTAGCAACACAAAATGGACAGGTGGATGAGCTGCTGATCATGTTAAGACTTCTAGATGAATTTGTAAACAAAATTATTTCAATAATCATTGCTGTATGTATTTTAATTGCTTTAAATTTTATGTTTTTTAATATTTTGAACAAGAGAAATCTGTGGTGCATATACCTCTCAAAGACCACACTACTAGTTGTCAATGATTTTTTTTGTATCTTATTCTGCAAAGAACAGTTTTCAGATGTAGAAATTGACAAGTCATTTTCATTTAACCAAAATTTGAATAATCCCGTTTTGCCATTTCCATCCCGTCCCGAGGATCTTTGTAGGATAACCCCATATAAGGAATTGCTAACAGAGGCTAGGCTACTGAGCTACAAGGCCTCTTAAGATATTTTTTGCCATGATTGTGATGGGGAAGGCCCTCTCGTGCGCTCACTGAAAGAAATTATTTCTGTTTGGTTTGTAAAATGCCAAGTTTTCGAAAATTTGGCAAAAAGTACTTAGTGACTAGCTTTGGTGAACAAAAACGTTGGAAAATCGAGAAAATGGAGGAATTGTATGGTGTTTACGAACGCGCACGTCTAGGCCCAAGGACTGGGAACAAGACAAAACAGGTCTTGAAGAAACACGGAATCTTTTTTTCTTTAAAGGTATGATTCCCTTTAAGGCTAAATTTTCTTCATTAAGCAAGAATTAATGCTATTCTTAAGGTATTTGATATGAAAAAACTCCGCGCATCCCGCTATGCAGAAACAAACCCTGAAAAGTCACAACATCCCGAACTTGATTCATAGTTTCGCTTGCGCTGATTAAGAGATTATTAGCTATTGTAACTGATAATTCTGGAGAGGGACTCAATTCACATGTTGACGGTAGAATCATCCATTTTTATTGTCGATTTTAGAGGAAAAATATTTCACTCTTAAAAGATATCCCGCAAAGGGTAGAGGCGATTTTTTTTTACTTTTATTTTGCCTCTGCGATCGACAACTTTTCAAAAGCAGGTTGTTACGTGGTAATGATAATGCGTGACAAATTGGTTTACCGGGGTGGGGTAGAGAGAACGTTTGTCGCTACTCGTATGAGTAACGCAAGTTTCGTAATGCTTGAATGTTCTTGCTTTTTTCTTTTTTGTTTGTTTATCTACGATTCTTTAAGAAAGAGAGCTTTTAGGGTTTCAAATGTTTGCCTCTTTAGATCTGATTAACTTGATCAAGAACCTCTTTTTGATTACCCTGTGTGAGTTTGAAACTAATCAAAGATTTAACTAGGGTTCATTTGTCTCAGGATAGAGTCACTTTTGATTTTGATTGCAACATTTTGACTGCAGTATCCTGAAGACTGCTAGCAGTATTGCTGTCGAAACATCGCAATCAACACTTAAAGGGTTAAAGTGACTCTATTGTGAGACAAACAATCAATGTTCATCTCCCATCTTACACCACGATGAACAATAAACACATATTTTATTGCAAAGATTTAATTGAAGGCACTATTTTTGTCCAGAGTGATGGACAAATAAAATATTTTTTTGGGTGTGAGGCTGAAAGAAATAATGGAACTGTAATAAGGGGATCTGAAATCAAATTACTTTGTGACCTGTTTTATCAAGTTATACTGAGAAATAGCAAACGCTCTAACACCCGTGAGTGACTAGGACAGAATTTTTCCTGTCAATATCAGTACAATATCAACCAGAAAAGTGATGAGAATAAAGAAAACTATCAATTTGGGGATAATTAGTTGATCATCCAATGCTAAATTCTCTGAACCAATATTGTAAGAATTGTATGGTTGATAGTAAGGAGAATTACAAATTGGATCTGGGTGCTAAAGGGTTAAAGTAATTATGAAAGACGCAAAACATCGAAAAATTATTTGAAAATACAAAAACTATTGTAATCACGATTTTTTTTAAAATACAGTTTTTTAGGAACAGTTCTCTCCATAGAGGGCCTGAAATAAATGAATACTGTGAAAGCTGTAGAAATGACAAAATTTTGAAAGGTTGAGTTTGAATGATTAATTGGTAATTCAAGTGAGGTCCCTCTTAAAGACTTCTTAAGGATATGTAGATGAGTTTCAAGGAATATCCTAAAAAAAATCTTAATGTTTATTTTGTGAGTTTTGCGTCTACTCTCGATCCTGGACACACGATCGTAGAGAAGTTTGTGCCAATTGTTGCTGAAATTAAGGGTCTAAAATAACGACTCTCTATAGGAAAGTTTGTAAATCACCTGTTTTCGAGACGGATAATGAGTTTGGTGATCTTTTCAGGAAGTTTACAGTTATGTTTTGTCCAAAATATTTGTATTTACCTTAGGAA